GGGAAACAGGAGCTCCCAATGTGCCCCGCAGTTTCGCTTCATGGTGAGATGTCCTGTAACAAGCCAGTAACCCAGAGGCATTATCAACTGCCTTACATGTTCAGACAGCCCCACATACCATGAATGCGGGCAAAAGGAACTGACTCTGAACACTGGCAGAAATATAATAAGAAAGAGGGGTGCTTTCTTTCCACAGAGAAGCACTTCAAAAAAAAGTTCAATTCACTGTATTAGCCAGATTAAGATCTGCAAGGACACAAATGAGACCATTTACCAGGGGACGTGGGAGATCCCTGGGCCAGGACCCTTCAGGAGCAGGGCACATGCCTGGGGGTGGGGTTCTGTGGGTACCAGGGGTTTCTACTCCAGGGATAGTGCTATGACTTCACACAGATAGAGAATGCAAAGCAAGCCAAGGCTGGGCAGTGACTGCTCTATCTCATCCCGGTTCCGGGGCCGGGCATGAGCACCGAATTATTAAGGATGAGTTCTCACACCTGACTTCAAACTTTTCCAAGGAAACCAGCAAGAAACGGCAACGGGAGGAGGAGGAGGAGGAGGAGGAAGAAAGCCCGTCCCTAATTGGAAGCCCACGTTTGCAAGAAGCTGCCAAAAAAGTGAAAGCGAAGAAAAAGAAGCAGCTTTCTGATGCGGAGAAAAAGTTGGCAGACAGGTTGGTAAAATTCTTAGTTGAGTGAGGACTTGAGATGTAAAGAAACTGAGGTTATTGCATCTGCATTATCCATCTTAATTTTTTCTCATTTCCTAAATATATATATACTAGAGGCCCGATGCACGAAATTCATGCAAGGGGCTCCCTCCCCACCACAGCAGCGGCTGCCTCTGCCTTGGCCCCCAGTGTGACAGCTTTGTCTGGAAGGTCATCTGGAAGGACGTCCAGGAGGACGTCCGGAAGGATGTCCGGTCTAATTAGCATATTATGCTTTTATTTTTTATAGCTAGACCAAAGCATGATTGTACAACCTATAAACATTTATGTTGGGAAAATATGTATTGTATATCTGCTTGAACTGTGGGTTTTTGTTTAGTAAA